AATCTAGGAAAAGGTCAAGTTCTTGAGGCTGAGATATGGGGTCTTTTTTTTGGTTTGAAGTTAGCAATTGAGAAAGGCATCAGTAGTCTCATTATTGAGATGGACTCAGCTATTGCAGTCAATCTCTGTCAGATTTCTTCCATGCTTTCTTTGCACCCTTTAGCTACTTTGGTTAGGAACTGCTGTGACCTTATGCAGCAGGTTCCCAGGTGTGCTCTTCAACATGTTTTTCGTGAGAAGAATATTGTTGCTGACCGGTTAGCGAATTGGAGTTATCAAGTGGATCTTGGGCTATGCGTGTTTGAGCAGGCTCCTAGTTGGTTAAGTGATTATCTTGTTGATGATCTGCTTGGAATTGTTCATTCTAGACTGGTCTGTTTAGACCAGGTTGTGTAGTCTGTTCTTTGGGGCTTTGCCCCCTTTCTTAATCAAAAAAAATAAAATAAAATAAACCGTTCAAATTGCTAATGCACACTTCGTAGTGAACCCCACATTGTGTCCTTCAAATCTTAAAGAATTCCCTTTATATATTAAGGATAATGCTATCAACAACAGTAACTCTTAAAAAGCATGAAACGTCGACAGGGTATGGACAATATCAATGCATGGTACTCTCTCGACATGTGGATGACTCCAACCCACTGATGAAGATGAGTTGGCACATACATCAACGGCTATCACTGCTCTTAATGGTGTAAAAGGGGGCTAGTGCTGTAATAGCACTAACGTTTTGTTAGTTACATTGTGCTACTACCACCTAACCTTACCACATATAGTCTCGCATTATTGGCTTCGAAGATGCCGTATTTGCCTATTGTTAGATGCTTTCATCTTCATCCTCTTGTAGACGTCTTGGACCCACATCATTATCATATTTGACATTTACAGAATCTTAACGGATAAGAATGACATTCGGCTTGGCTTAATAAGAATACTTCTTGTGGTTTCACTGGATTATATACATTCACAGAGAGAAAGAGAGAGGAGAGAGAGAGAGAGAGAGATGCTCGTGTCCCTTGGCATCCTCCAAAAGCCATATTAAGGTATTAAGGTAAGTGTACCAACTTCAAACTACTATATATTTTTCTGTTTTCACTCCTAACAAAATTTTCTGAGAACTTTCTTAGCATCTAATGCTGTAAATAAACTCCGAACACGTATAATTCTTTGAAAATTACATATTAAGCCATTCGGAATTCAATATTAAGTTTAGTGGCACTTTTTTCTTTTTCTTTTTTAATATTCTGAAGATATCCCAAATCCGAGTCCCCAGTAAACTAGATATTATCCATTAATTGATCTACGCGTTTTGCTGTTCATGTTAATTTTGTAGTATATAAATGCAAGGGACTTGTTAATGAATATGGATAAGGAAGAGGGATAAGGGGAGAATACAGAGGAGGAAGAAGAAAAAGACACAAAAATAATCTTCAAGCTCAAGCGACAGCTAGCCATGGTGATCCAGAGGCTGGAAATGTGTATAGAGCTGCTGAAACTGGCCCTGGAGTTCGTCCTCGTTGTAGCTCAAGCAGTGGAGATAGCCCTTCAGCACAACATGTCTCCATTCACCAGCTATTCAGCTTATAGCAGTGTTCCAGTTCATTTTGTTGGTTTTCTTCCTTAAGTTATATTCATCATTTTCATATCTCTCATGTAAAGCTTCAGGTTGGTACAAATTAATCGCACTTTTTTAAGAGCTTAATTTCCTTTTTTCCAGTAGAGATTTGTAGCCTTATTCATTTGTGAGAAAAATCTACCCGTATATATGCTCGTGAATTTGGGAGCACATCCGCTTTAATCATCCTGATTAAGTTCATGTCTGTTGCATTTTTGCTAATAGAAAACAGCTCATAAGGCATTGTTCTATATTTGTGCTTTTTTAGAGAAAAAAAACACTCAAGTGTTTTTGTTGTTTATTAATGGCAATGATGCTTACCTTTGTTTATAAGACAAGAGTTTGTAATATGTGGCAAACTTTATAAAGCACAAAAATAGATCGTTTGTGCTTCTGTTCTGAAAAGCTAATTAGGGTTTGGGATATTTCAGCTACTTTTTTAGTTGTTGTCCCTAATTTGATTTCATTGAATATTTTCAAACCCGCCAACCATGTGTACTATAATTGGAATTGTTTAAGAGGAGGGTCTTTATCAAATCTAAAATATCTTATCGTGTTATTGAGGGATAACTTGTAAAGTTCACTGTGAATTTTAATTATACAATTCAAACCGCCTATTATTTATAAATTATCTTTTCAAAAAGTTAGACAAATTGAAAATCATTAAAACAGCTAGATGCGATCAACAAAATAGATGAACACGGTGTTTTTAGAAAACACTAAAATGACTGCTATTGAATTGAGTTGCATGTTATATGGTTTTCGATTCGAGTAATTTTTTACAGAAATTTTCTTCGAAGAAATACTTAACAAATAGATAATTTGGATCATTTGTAAAGTGCGTTCTACAAACGTGTTTATCAAATAAGCATATTTTAGATATTTCTTAATTGAAGTTCTCTAATATATTTTTCTTATATAAGGTAGATGCATAGGGCAGGTGTGAATGTACTCATATGTGAAGTCCAGAGCATAATTTGTGACAAATGTTGAAGCTCACTACAAAAAGGTCACACATCCACTAAACTCCAAGGCAAATGATGCTAAATTATTTTATTTCTGAAATTAAATATCCTGGATGTATCTACATTATTGATTCCAGACAAATGATGCTGTAGTGTCTGATTGGATATCTAGAAGACAACAATACATGATGCATATTAGCCTAATAGGAAATCCAATTTCCATGGCTTTTATTTTTACAAAATAACTTAACAATTAGGAATATTTTTCAGAAATTCTTTGGATATGCACCCACAGCTCTAATGGCTTAGAAATCATGACCATGTGATCAGATCCTGTGATTTCCACCACACTGTTTGGCCTGTTCCTCTTAATCATCCACCGTTGGAGATCCTTCTTCATCAACAAATCTCCGCCGGATAAAACGTAAACCCGATTGACCGACCCATATTTCTCATGGGTTAGCTTGAGTTCTTTGGACAGGTCCTCTTCACTAAACAAGCGTTGAGGTCTCAATAACATGGTGCCTAGTGCTACATCCTGCACCAAATTATGATCCGTTTAATATGGACGGTCGGATTTTGTTGGTTGATGATGATCCGACGGTTAGATTTCACTTACCTCAGTTGGGCTGAGTTGGTACACATTTGTTTCCAAGAACAATGGGCCGAATATGAGAGTGATTGGAGGATTGTTTGGGCCTTGGTCATATGTGTATTTGCTGTCTAATAGAGATCCTTGTCTTCTGAACGACTTTATAATTCCAATTAGAAGAGATAAAAAAATCAAAGAAAAAAAGATATAATCAGCATAAAAGGACAAGGAACTTCCCATAATAATTCAAAGATATATATATATATATATATTAAAATTATGTGCATATAAAAGTAAAATACTGGAAGCACATTATGTGAATTACACATGCATCTTATGAGTGTTTCTCTACGAAGCGCTTAAAGTGATTATGTGATTTCTTATAAAGTACTTTTGTTCATTTCTGCAAGTTAATAAAAGAAAAAACACTTTTAGTTATCTCAAAGCATTTTTCAACAACGTAAGTTAATGAAAGTAATACGTACCTCTTGATTAAGAGTGGAGATGTTGAGGTTGGGGCCAGGCGTTAAGGCAGTGACGAAAACAGCTAGAGATATCTTATCTGGAAATCTTTCCATGGCATAAGAAATGGCCAACCCACCAAGACTGTGACCAACAAGGATGACCTTATCATGTGGAGGATCAAGAGCTGCCATGAAATCCGTCAAGGGCTTGAAGTAGTCAGAAATTGATTGCAGATATTTTGCCTGCTGAGGGTCAACCCCAGAAGCAGCTAGGTCTAGGGCAGTGACATTGTGACCAGATGACTTCATTAAGGTCACAAGCTTGTACCATGACCAAGCACCAAAGCAGGAACCATGAACCAGTACAAAGTGCTTCTTGCTAGGGTTTGTAGGCTCTGATTCTGTTATATTTGCTGCACAGAGAAGAATGATCAGCAAAGTAGAGATTGATTTGATCAAAATTTTCTTTCTTTGATCCATGTGTTTATGTTTCTGGTCTGGTCACCCCAATTTGATTGGGAAATATATATTCGTTGTTTGTATATGTCTTCATATTATTTATTGGATTCAAAAGTACTGATAGGCGTTCTGGCTTTGCTTGTTTGACCATTTTTTTTTTCCTTTCATTGAATTTTGACTTCAATTTAAAATTGGGGCTGAGAAAATCATCTGAGTTAGAGTCTTCTAACTACCCAAACTACCCTTATGGCTTTTTACAATTTCCACTGGATACCCCTTTCACATTTCACGCGTGAATTTCCTTCTCTACGTTCTTCTTCCACTGGGCTTCTGTTGGTTCTCTCCCCTTGTTCTTCATTCAGTGGTCTTGTTGGTTGGTGCAGTTCTTCCACAGCCCAGGTAATTTAGTCTAGGGTTTGTTTTTTGTAGTTTTCAATTTCTTATTCTTTCCTTTTCTCTTTAATTTCTAGGGTTGAATTTGCTTTTCGTTTTTGTTAAGTTAAATCTTCACACACGTTAAAGAAAATAATCTCCAATCTCCAACAAGTATTATTGATTTATATATGTGCTTTCTTTTGTTTGTTTTTTTCTTGATGTTTTGGTTTATATTGTGATTACTGGGAGTTTGATGTGCTTGATTTATATTTTTGGCTCTGGTTTTTGTTGATTTGTATGCTTTTGCTTTGATTGTTCCTGATTTTTTTGGGGTTTTCCCTTTTGTTGGTGATTGCATAGTGAGAACAAATCTATTAAATGTTTGGATTGTGCGAAAGACATTTCATCAAAGCATATGGGTAGTTGTAGTTCTATGCTTTAAGTTAGAAAAGCATCCCAGCTCCTGGGAATTTGTTCTCTCCTTCCCAAATTTATGGTACAGGGTGTTGGTTCTGCAATACTGTGGTACTTATGAACTTTCTCTTAAACAGAAACGTAGATGAACCCCATGGACTCGCAGACCCAGAACACCTCGTTGCAGAGGCTTCAAAATGTGGAGAAAGTAAGCAATGAAATACTGAAATGTAATTGCCTTTAGGAACCAACTATATCTATAATAAGAATTTTTTTGCTTGATTGTGCAGAGAATCGTTAAGGTTTTGGAGCTAGCTGGAGGTGTCATGGACGAGCTTGCAAACCCTAGTGGTCCCAGAAAGGAGTTTATCAACAACCATTGCCGCGAGTTCATGCAATTGATCAAGGTCTGTCTTTTGTTTTATTCTGCTAATCAAGATTGTAGCTAGGTATATCATGTGTTTGTGCATCCATACATATATGTGTTTTTATATAACTGAAAATTTCTGTAATCTGTAACCGAAAAAAAATAAAATTTCTGTAATCGTGGAGCTGTCATGGAATTTGAGATTTGCTAATGGGACCCAAAAATTGAACTCTGCCTGGAAGTAGATTGCAGATTTGACATTTATAATGTTATCAGGGGAACATTTTGGGACGAGGGTTTTGGGGTTCAAGAAAGTTGTGCTTTTAATAGTCTAGAATTGAATTAGGAGTATATTTGATTCAGTGGTTTGGATGCTATATTGAATTTTGGATCAATAATTATAAATTTAACCAAGGACCATAGTACCTAGAGTATATTTGGAAATTTCATTTAAGTATAAAAAAAATTTGTCTAATTTTATTTTGGTATGGAAATATTTTCTGGTGCAAAATGTTTTGGTCTCAGTGAGAAGGTTGGTTAATTGGATGGATTATTCTTTTTGGTAATGAATTTATTCTTACTCTAAGTTCTTATTTTGGAATATTTGTTTCTTTTGTGAATCAGGATATTCAAGTGGCACTGCGGGATGAAATTAAAAGTGCATGTGATTACCGTCCGTTTGAGAAGTGTGATTACAGTTCAAGAGTAGCTAATGAAATCTGTTGCAAGAAACTGGAATATGTCATGTCACAGTTGGATGCAATGAAAGAAACAATGGATGAATATCATAATGCAGTTTGAAGATCCATGGTAGACAAGTTAAGTCCATTCTCATCAGCATTCCACCTTTTTGGAATATAATGCTTTTGCAAGCATATAGTTTTTAGAATCTGGAAAAGGAGTTATCACTCTGCTTCTGTCATACGATCCTATGTTCATTTTACCAGATTGCGGGAAGGAGAGAGAGAGAAACTGGGATTTTGAAACAAAAATGGGCAGATGTTGTTCTAGATTCCCATTATCTAGCTTTTAAGGTTCATTCTTAGTAGATGCACATGTTCTAAGAACGTTTTTTGGATTGTATATACTTAACTTGGGCTATATGTGTCGGTTATTATTAATAGCATTCTTGATAATGTTACCTGAAACTTTCCAGTTCTATAATGAAAACTAAGTATTGATAATATATGTCCTATTACTTGCCTTTGGGACTCTGTTTATGAATGACCACAATTTATATTACATTGAGCAACAAAGTCACTCGTGTACTTATTTTTGTACCATTTTTCATATATCAATAAATATTGTGTTTCCTAACAATTTAGTGTTAGATTTTCTCACTAGTTGGCTTGTTTTTGTACTCTATTATTTTCCTCTTATGGTTTGCAAACTTGAGGTTTGCCAGAGCAACAATATGGTTGTACTTGATATCCTTTGATTGGATGAAAATAAGCTTATTTAGAACTAAACCAGCACTCAATTGAGATTGGTGAGTAAACAACCCCCAAGTGAAAAAAAACTCTCAGATATGGCGAACTCAAAAGACAAGGTAGAGAGCACTTGTAAAAGTTTCCACCTTTTGTCCTGTAAAAGAAAAAATCTCAAAGCCAAGAAAGTAGCTTTCTGGTTTTGGCTTTTGTTGATGCTTTAGGCTTGGTGGGAGGGTCACTACATACTATAACTGCTAATGCTGGGTCTGAGTCATCACTAGCCAACCAGTGGGACCATATGTACAAAGACTATATGTACAAAGCCTTTTGTATGTTTCCCAACATTTGGAATCTCTGTGATGTTACCAAATCACCTGCAAAGTTTGTCCAGTACTATGTTGTAGCTTGTAAGCCACATATTTAATAGAGTTTGTGTGTGGATCCACACTTTATTAGAAATCTGGGATACAATGCGGTAAGTAAATATGGTACATGTAGCATCGTCTAAGTTTGCCTTCGACTAGGTAAAAATTTGTAAGAAATCCATGTTAGCCCACAATTATTTTTGTGTACATAGACTAATTATTGTAAAGGATAGCACACGTCTTTCTCTTTTGGGGGGTCATAACTTATTCCGAAACCCTGAAATGATAAAGCTGGATGTTTTCAGCATTGTGTTTCTTGAAATTACTGAGCTTTCTGTGACTCAAAAACTTGCCCCAGCTGTAAGGCTTATATTTTGCAGGGTCTTCTTGTTCATGGGTCAGCTCCTCCAAGGGCTTGACTAGGGTATAGTGTGCTGGGTTGACAAAGTAGGGAATGGAAAACCTTCCCCTCTCTGAATTCACTAACACCCTGTGTTCCACACTCTCATATCTGTCATTGCTCCAAACCTGCATAAAATGGAGAATGAAAGTATAAAAATAAGTAGAGGAGCTAAACGCAATTGCGCAAAATGGGAGTGTTAAATTGCTACCCTATAGTAGTAACTGGTACCTTGGTTCTAACAAGTTTTTGAAAAAAAAAATCTGCACACGAGTACTTCTTAGTATGAAGTTTGAAGAGTGGAACCTGAATAATGTCACCAACATTGATGATATAGGCATTTGGGGTAGGTTTAACCTGAATCCACTCTCCATCTCTCTTCCTCTTCACTTCCAATCCTCCGACCTCATCCTGAGCAAGCACAGTTAAAGCACCGCTATCCTTGTGGCGCCCAACACCGAGAGCTAACTGAGGGGAAGGGCAAGGTGGATAGTAGTTGAGTCTGATAAAACTTGTTTGATCTTTGAAGTAGCTGTTGAACCTGTCTGCTGGCACGCCTAGGCTCAAGGCTATAAGTCCCATCAACTTTAGAGCTAGCTTTTCTACTTCTTCAGTATACTCTTCACTCGCCACCCTGCTCAAAGCATGCAGTGTCTAGTTATTAGATCATATAAGCGATCAAGTTCCAAATTTGTATTTAACCCTTTAATGCAAAGGGTCCTTACAGCACAAACAGTTATCTTTTCAATTGAGAGCTAGTGTTCTTTGATTCCCTCCTTAGCATTTTCATTATGAATCACAGGTGTTCTAGATTTCCTTAACCATTTTATTGCTTCTCTGTTTTTTGTTTTCATCTTTGTATAATCAAATGATTACCTAAGATAAGCATGTTCTTCTTAGTGATCATTGAGTTACCTTAGTTCTTGGGGATACTCAGGCCACTGGTTAGTCCACTTTGTCTCTTCCTTGTCCTCAGGATCAAGGGAAGCTGGCATTAACATTGGATCCTCCACTGCGAAATCAAACACCTCCTTCCAGTCTCTTACATTCTTGGTGTGCTCAGTGTCATAGTAACCGAACAAACTTTTTTCATCCCTCGTGATCTTCCTCTTCTCCTCCAAAGGCTGAGCAAAAAATTTCCTAGCAGCATCCTCGATCTTTTTGCGCTTATCCAATAGCACCCCATGGTTGATCACTTGGAAGAACCCCCACTCTTTGCATGCATTGCCTATTTCTCTAACTACCCCTCCAATGGCTTTAGGGTCAGAAATGTTGTCTGAGGAGTTTAGGGGAGACAGGTCAATCAATGGTATGCCTTCAGCTTTGGGGACGGAGAGTTTGGGCCTGTGCTCAGGGTGTTGGATGAAAGCTGGATCAACCTCTCCCATGGATGCTGAATTTGATTTGGAAGCTAAGCTGCTCAATGGTATTTTGTTATTTGTTTTTGCAAGAAAGCTAATAGAAGAATGGTAGGTTTTTTAATGTGAGTGGTTGAAGTTTTATCTGGATGGGTTCTTGTTAATTAGTAGTTTGAGAATAGTAGGTGCTGCAAGGTTTTGATTTGGAAGGTTGTGACGGTTTGTGCTTACTGTTAGGAATGGTGGATCAAATACAATTGTCCCACGTCAGAAGGGGAACTGTCCATAAATGGATTAATTAAGCAGTAGCTCTTTCTAAATTGTACTGCAATTTAAAAAATTTTAAAATGTGGGATGGGATTGAGATAGATTGTTAGCAGGTCAAAACAGCCGATGTCACAAATTAATCAATACCCAAAGCGTTCTCCTTGTTGAAGCAAAATAAATGTTTGTAGATAATTATATTACTGATCTTAGTGACACATTAACCACACAATGTTTCAGAAGTTACACACAGGTCACTTCTCTATACAACGATGCATTATTTTCTGAATCGATATACAGCACCGTATGCACAGGGAGCTAAAATAACAATAGTAGCACTCAGCAAAACTCCTTGTAATCCAAACTTATTCCGATACCTTGAAATGATAAATCTGGATGTTTTCAGTATTGAGTTTCTTGAAATTACTGAGCTTTCTGTGTGTGATAAACTTGCCCCAGCTGTAGGGCTTATACTTGGCAGGGTTTCGTTCATCGGTCAGCTCCTCCAAGGGCTTGACTTGTGTGTAGTGTGCTGGGCTAAGGAAGAAGGGAATGGAAAACCTTTCCTTCTCTGAGTTCACCATCACCCGATGTTCCACACTCTCATATCTCTCATTGCTCCAAACCTGTATAAACATCTCTTTGTTATGTGCACAACAATATATAGCGTGCATTGACTAATTAACATATCCTGTTTCTAATTGGACAACTGATTTTGTTCTAGATCTAGATTGGTGTGTGTGTGTGTCCTTTTAGGTTCTTATGCTGTTAGAAGTGGAAAGCAAGCTCGGCCAGTAACAACTTTCAAAAGTAATCTGAACACAAGTACTTAACCTGAATAACATCACCAACATTGATGATATAGGCATTTGGGGTAGGTTTCACCCGAATCCACTCCCCGTCTGTTTTTCTCTTCACTTCCAATCCTCCAACATCATCTTGAGCTAGCACGGTTAATGCACCGCCATCCTTGTGGCGCCCAACACCAAGAGCTAACCGAGGGGAAGGGCAAGGTGGATAGTGGTTGAGTCTGATAAAACTTGTTTGGTCTTTGAAGTAGCTGTTGAACCTGTCTTCTGGCAAGCCTAGACTCAAGGCTATAAGTCCCATCAACTTCAGAGCTAGCTTTTCTACTTCTCGAGCATATTCTTCACACGCCGGTCTGGTCAAGGCATGCAGTATTGCTATTAGATCATATTCATATATAAATCAGGTTCAAAAGTTTATGTTTAACACTTCAATTCATAGGGTTCTTACAGCACAAACAGTTAAGTTTCCAAGTGAGAAAGCTAGCAGTTCTTTACTTGATACACATTATAATTCAAAGGTGATTTTGGAATTACAGGAACATAAAAAATGTAATTGACCCTTTGGTTGGTTGCTCAGCAATTTCTTAGATTGAGGTACCTTAGTTCAGGAGGATTCTCAGGCCATTGGTTTATCCACTGTGTCTCTTCTTTGTCCTCAGGATCAGGGGAGGCTGGGACTAATGTAGGCTCCTCCACTACGAAATCAAACACCTCCTTCCAGTCTCTAACATTCTTGGTGTGCTCAGTGTCATAGTAGCCCACCACAATTTTTTCATCCCTCCTGATCTTCCTCTTCTCCTCCAAGGGCAGAGCAAAGAACTTCCTAGCAGCTGTCTCAATCTTTTCGCGCTTATCCAACGCGACTCCATGGTTGATCACTTGGAAGAAACCCCAGTCCTTGCAAGCACTGCCTATTTCTCTAACAAGCCCTTCAATGGCTTTAAGCTCAGAAATGGAATCCGGGGTAGGGATACTATTTATAGGAGAAAGATCAATCAATGGTATGCCTTCAGCTTCAATGATGGAGAGCTTTGGCCTGTGCTCAGGGTCTTGAATGAAAGCTGGATCAACCTCTCCCATGGCTGGTGATTTTTGATTTGGAAGGTATAAGCCACTCTGTGGTTTTAATTTGAACTTTTTGCAAGAAGAGCTAATAGAAGAGTTATAATGGAAGCCTTATCTTGAACCTGTACGGGTTTTGGTCAATTGTTAGGTGGAAGATTATGCCATTGCAGACGTGGATCAAAATAATTGGTACAAATATTGACCTTGACCCTAATATACTTCCCTTCATAGAGTCCAACAAGGTTCACTCTCTCTTTTTATTTATTTTATCTCAGAGTTACTATCTTTATTGCAGAAGTGTACTGAGAAAATATGTTGCAGATTTTTTGACTTAACCAAGAGATCTTGTGCTGTTTTTTACTGTTGGCATATGTATCAACTTAAATTGATTCTTTCTGGACAAATCAATGTGTAATGACTGATTTGAGAAAAATGCATTTGTCTTTCTTTTTTCTCTGAGCTGAAACTGGTTTTCTAGATGTTCCTCCACGGGTGCTGGAATCCAAAATATTTCTGTTTTTCATTTGCAGTGGGAAGGACATAAATTTTATTTCTTTATTTAAATATATATCGTCGTAAACAACGGTCTTACTATTATCCATTAACTTAACTTAGTTTTGTGATGAATAAAGCTAAAAGGGTTCTCGGGAATTTGTTCTTAGTCTTTGAAGCAAGATACTGTAATATTTCTATTTAGATTGGTGCACTAGATACTAAATTATATAAAGTTTGATAAGAGTTTAAATTAGGTTATACCTTGAGGCCCAAAACCTTGTGAAATAAGGAAAGTTTTGAAACCAATTCAAGGGGTCCTATTTCTTTTCTTTTGCGTGAACCGTTGCTTGATGGGCTTTAAGTGTTAGTCAAGTCGGACCCTGGTGATGAGTAGAGACGACTTGAACTAGCCCTATATAAGCTTAAGACCCTGCTTTCATTTGGGAGAAGCTGTTTTTGTGTTAGGCATTGAAATTAAGAGAGACCGAGCTCGAGGTGTGCTAGGCTTGTTGCAGAAAACATACATTGAAAGGATACTCAAGCATTTTTACATGAGTATGTGTTATAGACAGAAAGTTCCATTAGCTAAAGGAGATTTGAAGAAAGAGCATTGCCCCAAGAATAAAGAAGAAGAAGTTGAGATGAGAAACAAGCCGTATGCTTATCTACTTGGGAGCATTATATGTATGCACAAGGCCAGACCTAGCCTTGTGCATTAGCAAGATGGAGAGATTTCAGTCAAATCCGAGAATGCAACATTGGATAACTAGAAAGAAGATTCTAAGGTACCTACAGAGAACAAAGGCTTACATGTTGATTTACAGATGCACATAGAATTTAGAGCTTGCTATGAAGCCACTTCTCATGCAGTATGGCTAAGGAGTTTTATCAAATACATTAAGGTGGTGGACTCGATTTCAAGACCAGTGTAGATATACAATGACAACACTACGACTGTTTTTCATTGCATGAACAACAAGATGTCGTGTGAACTTCAGTACATTGACAAAAAGTATTTAATAGTGAGGGAGAAGGTAGTGGACAAACTAGTCAAGTTTGATCATATCAGAACTCAAGAGATGATTGCGGATCCGTTTACAAAGTTTCTGCCTTCAGAAGCTTTTATGAGATATGTTGAGAGCATGAGATTATTTCCTAGCTTTGATGCTGCAATCTAGTGCGAGTCTTGTTTCCCATTCTCATAGTTTTCTAGTATGTCTAATTTTGTTGTTTTCTTGATTGAGGGATTTGCATTTAAGCATGTTAATTTGGTTGATAGTTTTGATTATTAAAAAATTTCTACCATTTTGACTATTTAGATGTTTAAGTTTATATACATTTTGTTTATGCATGTAAGTTTATGGTCTCTTTGAGATACCAGTGTTTTTATAACATTACGGATTGACTCTTGCTAAGTCATAAAGGGTTATATGTACTAAAAAGCATAAAGATTCACATTACGGATCAATCGATGTTAAGGTTAGCATTTGTAGGTGCTTCATGTGTTTTGAGATTGCGTTATGTGATTGTAGATGACCTATTTTCATAAAGGAGAGTAGTGTTTGTCTATAGTTCATTTTGTCTAATCACTTTTCACTATAGCTTGAAGGGAAGGACTTAACTGTTTTAAACTCATGGCCAAAAAAGAGTATCAAACTTTTGCAATACAGAAGCTTAGTGCTCTAGTGCTTGATCTAGTGGGAGAGTATTATATTCCTATTTAGATCGGTGCACTAGATACTAAGTTATATAACATTTGATAAGAGTTTAAATTATGTTATACCTTGAGGCCCAAAACCTTGTGAAATAAGGAAAGTTTTGAAGCCAATTAAAGAGGTCCTATTTATTTCGTTTTGCGTGGACCGTTGCTGATGGGCTTTAAATGTTAGTCAAGTCTGCCCTTGGTGATGAGTAGAGACAACTTGACCTAGCACTATATAAGCTTAAAACCCTGCTCTCATCAGACACCTTCTTTAACTCTAATCTCATCATAAAGAGAGAGTTGAAATATTTTATGAGAGAGAGTAGAAGTCTTGAGCCGTTCGTGTCTTTTACTAGTGTTGTTGTTGCTGCAATTAAACGAGTTCTGAGATCGTGTACTCAAGGAAGATGACACCAAGTATGTCTTTTATATATTTCAGATTGTGTGAAAGATCATGAACACTTATATAGAAAATCTAACATATACATATTTGGAAATCATTACTACTGATCTTATTGACACATTAACCGTGCCATGTTTAAGAAGTCCCTTACAAGTTACTTCTCTAAAACCTATACAGCATGGCTTTATTTTCTGGATTGATATCCAGCATTTGTTGAACAGGAAGCAGAAACAACATTATTATCACTCAGTAGTAATACTCCTTTATAACCCCACTTATTCTGATACCCTGAAATGATGAATTTGGATGTTTTCAACATTGAGTTTCTTGTAATTACTGAGCTGTCTGTGAGCAAAAAACTTGCCCCAGCTGTAGGG